TTGTGTTCCTACTCTTGCTTCTCGAGTGTTTTTCGAACTCCCACCGTGTTTATATCAGAGGACAGAYACACCCRCAGTTTTATATTTCTTAAGGAGATAAATATTTACAATGATAATAATGATAAATGAATAATAATAATTAAAATGCATTAAGCAATGCATGACTGGACCCCCTGGTTTACCTATTGTTTACTAATACACATGYAGTTATGTCAAAGAAATACACCAATACGTGACTGGACTCTCCCTGGTTTACCAAGTGGATTTTCTTTATCAATAAAGAGAGATGACATGACTGGAAGTACTTTGTCTGGTAACAAGGTAAGAAATGTCGTGTATTAACAAAGAATGCATTGCCTGATAACAAAATGATCAGGGGACTGGGACTGATATTTTAAAAATTGCTACAATCTRCAGAAATCTATTCTTCTATCTATTCTTCCTGGAACCATTATTTAGTTAGATTTTGAAGTTCAGACTCAGTCCCGTCTTTTTCGATTTGTTATTGGCCAATTGGTTAGTTCAAACCCTAGACCCCCTGCAGTCCTAAACCCCTGATGAAGGTTGGGGAATTAGCAATTTACAGACAGGGAATCTAACACTGTTTTTGAYTGCATAAAAACAGTTGCCCAAATAATCAAAGAAATTAATATGTTTTCAGGTAAGAAAACTTGAATTTCTGTTGGCTGATGCTTTGGTGAAAGGAAGTGACTGTGTGCTGACRTGTGGTGGTATTCAATCAAATCACTGTCGAGCTACTGCAGTAGCGGCAAGGGAACTTGGACTTGATTGCTATTTATTTCTCAGACATAAAGAAGAGGTGATCAATCAGTCAAACAATCAATAAGTCTGTCAATCGTTCAGTCAATCAATCAATCAATCAATCAATCAATCATCAATCACTCAGTTGACAATCAATTAATGTATTAATCAATCAATCAGTCATGCGATTAATCAATCAATTAATCAACCTGTCAATCAATTATTAAATCAATCAATCGATCAACGGATCAGTAGTCTCCTTCACGGTTACCTGCGCCATCTTGAAAGGTAGCAGTGCCTTGTCATCGAAGCGAGACAACCGTTGAGCGTGCAATGATAGAAACCTTCTTTCACACCTATAGACAATTATTCACAGGTATCTATCATTGCACGCTCAAYGGTCGTCTCGATTYGATGCAAAGGCACGGCTACCTTTCAAGATGGCGCAGGKAWCCGTGAAGGAGACTATTAATCKATCAATKCATCAATCYATCAATCAGTTAATCAWTTAATCMGTCAATCRATCCATAAATCAATCAATCAACTGCTAGATCTATCAATTAGTTARTCAGTCAATCAATCCATTAATCGATTAATCCTGATTGGTTTGCACTCATGACCCCTCGTTTTTGTATTTATTTCTTTCAATGAGTTTACAGTTGTTACCCTAATTTTTTKTCAAATTCACTCTATGATAATGCTCAAGAGAGAGTCAAATTTGTACAACTTGGCAATGAACCACAGTTTATTAAATGATTACAGAATACAAACATTGGGTGCTCAGGAAATCTTCTTCTCAATCATTTAATGGGAGCCAAGATTTTCCTTGTCCCTAATGAGAGATATACCTCTGGCTTAAAACCACGTATGGAAATTATTGCAGAAAAGCTAAGGTAATAGTTGACTAGCAGAGCAGTTTACTATTATTCTATTGGGGTGATATAGAGGATATAACCTGGGCGCGCGGAAATACGGATTTTATCTTAAAGTGTTGGAAAAATCTCTCACGAGTGAGCATAACGAACGAGTGAAAGATTTTCAACACGAGAAGAGAAAATTTGTATCTACAAGCAACCATGTAATATTCTGTTTATCACATAATTACATATTATGTAAGCAAATTATGTCGTAAAATACCTTTTTTTCTTGCTTGACTATATAGAGAAACCTCGAATGTGTTATTTTCACTGGTGAAAATAGCATATTATTCATTATAGTGTGATGTGCTAAAGGCGCAAAAATATTGACGTTTTGATGGTTTGATCTGTTTGGATTTCTATTCAAAGAAGAACTTTGGAAAAGTTGGAAAATTCAACAAGCAATTCTGAAGTTTTTTTTATGTGTGCTGAAAAGGAAGGAGGGGGCATTATAATTTAACTCAAGGTGTCCATGCTACCTTAAAGCAAAGTTCTTTGCTAAGGAGACTTGTATTTTTCTATTTTTTAAAGCTGTTTCAATATATTCCACATATCAGTGATACCAGTGCATGAAATCTCGTTTATAACGCTTCTCCTTCCGCAAAGCATCGTGGTCAACGCTGCTCCTTTTAAATAGGTTTTCCCAACCAAAAATAACATTGTGAACATACCTTTATTTCAGAGAAAAAGGTCGAGTGCCGTATATTGTCCCTTTAGGCGGTTCTAATCCTCTCGGTTTGTATGGATACATTAGTGCATTCCAAGAACTTATAGAACAGGCAATAAACCAGTAAAACTTGCTCATGACATCTCTTCTTATCGACCCATTTAAGAGAATCCAGAGAACTAGAGGATTCCAGATTCCAAGCACTGGATTCTGGATTCAAAAGAATGTGTTTTGTGGATTTCAAAATTTTTACTGGATTCTGATTCCAAAAATTTGGATTCCAGATTCCAGGATACTGATTCGCGATTCCAAAGCTATTTTTTTTTACTGGATTCCAGCTTCTCATTGGATTCTCTTACGTGGGGCGATTATTAACTGTACTTATGAAATATTTATTCATCATTTTGCTGACTCAATAATCTTGTATTTTTTACGATTATATATTGCGCATATTCAACATGCAGAAAGTACGTTGAAGGGGAGTGAACTTTAATGTAATTTTTGATAGTTTCAATATGCCAAAATGGTATTTCCGGGTCTTAAAGGCACATGTGCATCCATAAGCCTTTGCGCGAGTTTTTCATATACAAAACTCATAATCTAATTTAAACCAATGGGAACGAGAGATCACTAGTGAAATAAAAGAAACAATGCCAAAGATTTTGGGATGTACATGAGGCTTTTGGTAAGAAGTTGTCTTTCTTTCTGAGTTTTATTTWATTTWWATTTGTTCGTTTGTAACTAGCCTGTATAGACATCCGTTCCCACCCCTCTACCCTACGAATTTTCCCAGTAAGGTAGGGATGGTAACGGATGTTCACAAGCCAGTTTATGACCAGTTTGCTTTACTCCGACGAAGGATTAACATCCGAAATGTCAGTAAGTTATTCCACATACTTTTTTACGGTGTTAAATTTATCTTTTTACATAACTGTTTCTTTAGAAACACCGTCGCAGCTCACACTAGTTTACCGCTAGTTCCCACCATTATGACCAGTTTTGTTGTGTTTTAAATAATAGAAAGTCCTGGAAAACTTCGATGATATTGTATTGTGTATTGGCAGTGCTGGCAGTGCAGCAGGAATTGCTATTGGGAATTACTTGACAGGAAGTAAAGTAAAGTAAGGAATAGTCCACTTCCATTAATACCTGCCAATGATTTCTTACACTTGACTCATATAATAAAAGAAAAGCTTTCAGGATTGTTTATAAAATTTAAAAATAATAACTTTTTTGATATATAACGCGCGCTCTGATGGCTGCAGGTCGAGACACGGCTTACCGGTAAAATTTGTTTATTGCCTGAAAAACCCAGACAAATTTTATAAAAGAACTATAAAACGGCCGCTTGTGCCTCTGTCCTCTGATATAAACACGGTGCGAGTACTCGAGAAGCAAGATAAAACACTCGCTCCACGATCGTGTTTCTAAGCTTGCTTCACGAGTGTTTTTCAATTCCCACCGTGTTTATATCGGAGGACAGAGACACGCGCGCCGTTTTATATTTCTTAAACTAAGGGAAGCTTAGTCTATCCCTCAAAATAACCCCCTCCCCTCCCACCCTGGGACAGTAATTTCTTGATATCCATTTTGGTTCTTCCAGATGCCATGCAGTGTGCGCCTCTGATAATGCAAAGAATTTTTACGAACATATCAACGAAGAGCTTGATGCTATTGGAATGGATGTCAAAGCTGAGGATATCATTGATATTGTTGACGGGTACAAAGGAAAAGGATATGGTATTTCTACCAAAGAAGAGCTTGGTAAGAAGACTTAAGGATCTTTTGGGCTTCTTGGATCTATGAGTATCACGAGAGTGCGCAGGGTTTTCATGAAGGTGGCTTACTCAATGTGTAATCCCACTGATTTGTTCAGTWAAGTCTCTAAAGRCTCGTTTACACTTGTAATTTTTGAATTAGCTGCAACTCGCGGCGATCAAACATCGCAGGGCTGTTAAACACGTACGATTTGAGGGGTGCGAGAACAAARTTGCGATTGTCGCGCGACAATCGCGGTGCAAAAATCTCARGTGTAAACGGGCCTTAATAAGMCCGWTTTCTCCACCACACCCTGTCTCTTAATCAACAATCGACAATCGCCACTTTGTTCTAACGCATCTCAAATCCTATGTGTAAACCGAGCCCTGCGATTGTTGCGGCGATCGAAAWTCGCCGCGAGTTGCAGCTAAATTTCAAGCATRTTCGAATCTCAGGCGATTGTYGCGCGACAATCGCGCTTAAAAAATCGCAAGAGTGAACGGACCTTTATGCTCCCTATCTCAAGCCATAGTAAACYAGASGAATCGCCAATATTGCCAGACTGACGTTGATAGGTTTATATTCAATTGGATCTTAATTTCCCAGACAACCTCGCGTAGATATAACGTTGAGTGATTGCAATCTTTTTTTTTGGGTCATTCTAGAGCTAATAGTAAGGATATCGTCGTTAACCGGTATCGTCCTGGATCCTGTCTATACCATCAAGTCAGTGAGAGGAATGCTTAGTGAAATGAATGCGAACCCTTCAAGATTCAAAGGGTCTAGAGTTTTATATATTCATACAGGTAAGTTATATAGACCCCTTGCATGTGACGTCAAAGYAGCATGTGACGTCAAAACAAAAGATTTTTATCCTCTTGGGAACTAGAATCCATTGTTTTGTCCTCCAGTTGCAGYTGCATTCCCATGAACTGCAAGGGGTCTATAGGAATGAATCCTCGAGTTACGTACAAGAGAGGGTGTATGTCACCACAGTCTACACCACACCACACCACACCACACCACGACACAACACAAAACACCAAAAAACCCTCTTAAATACTCAAATGTGAAATATTTCGTTTCCCAACTCAAAAAAACACAGCTGCAATAAACCCTACTACAAATATGGCCGCCATCTTGAATTCTTTCAGTATCGATTCAACAAGAAATAGTCTCCTTCACGGTAACTCCTTGCGCCATCTTGAGAGGTRGCCATGCTTTTAAGTGAGACGACCGTTGAGCGTGCAATGATACTGAGGCCTTCTTTCACACGTCCTTGCACCTTCGACGGTTGTCTCCATTCGATGTAAAGGGCACGGCTACCTTTCACGTAGCCTGCGTACATCCGATTTATGTTTACGAGTAAAACGATGGATGAACTCAGGTTATTACCTTTCACGATGTCGCAGAGAACCGTGAAGGAGACTATTATCGAGTACACACTATAATAATCCAATATTGTATGGTATTTGATTAATTGGKACTGTGTTTCTAGGTGGAGTGTATGGTCTTTACGATGGACGAATGGATGATGTGGTTACAGAAATGACTAGCAACAGTATAAGAGAATGGAAGGACTCGCTCGACAACCCGCCTCAACTGCACTGAAACCCGGGGGAGGGGGATAATTGTTGGAATTTCTAAAAGAAATATGCCAGGCTCTTACAAAAAAAGGGCGTGGCAGCCCAATATTTTCACCCCTAAAAGATACCAACTAAAAATGTTTTACATAATCAAATACGATGAAACGAGACGACTTACGTATTCTGATTATCACAAAGTACACCAGATCATTTGGTGGTGGCCCGAAAACCTTCAAGACACAATCCCTAGTGCTTTTAACCCCTTTTAAAAAGAAACGACCATCGAAATCCGTTCATATATTGGAGTACCCTAAAACCAGACAAACTAATTAGGCAAACACGGTTTTGATTTTGCCTTTTGATAGCCCACCACACCTGTCCTTAATAGTTCGACCAATCATAAGCTTCGTTCTGACGGTAGTGGTCGACCCATGCATGTCTTCTTTACCAGAGATACAGTTAACTCTCTTTGAACGACCACTCTAGTAAGCGACCATCTCCCGTAATCGACCACCTTTTAAATTTCCCGTTTTGTTCAGTTTCCCATATAAACTCTGTAAAAAAACTTTCTCGTTAGCGACCATCTCTCGTAAGCGACCACGTTTTCCTGATCCCGAGGTGGTCGCTTAAGAGAGAGTTGACTGTAGTTTAAATAAGATCAAGACGAGCATGAGCTGTCAGCGGTCTCACAGTCCAGTGAATTATACAGCAATGCCTAAGACAGTCCTTTATTCATGCTTTGTAATAAACAGAAACAAATTCAGAAACACTTTGTCAACAACCTGCTTCTATTATATCTTTCAACGCAATTTACATCAAATCTGAATCTCCTACAGTACACTTGAACAGCGCAGGTTGCGTAAGTCGAATTCTTGGACAGACAGACATTATGCTTGACTGTCGGTTGTGATATGAATGGCAACAAACATATATTGAACAATTTGGCCAGTCCTCCACTTTGATTGTTGCTATATATTGAATTTTTTTTTTTTTGTAACTAGTTCGTTTCCATGATGCCAACGACTTCATCCAAATCTTCCTCAAAAACTCTTAATTTGCATAGCGTATAATTTAAACAATGATTACTGGGGTCCTGGACCTCCACGACGACCTCCCCGTGGGGGACCTCCCCTGGGGAAACCTCCGCGTCCACCTCGGTTGCCTCCTCTTCTTGAACCGTCCTGGAGAAAGAAGAAAATTATCGTTACTTCATTATTTTCATCATTACGCCATCTTACTGACTATTTGTCAGTAACTGTTTCATGGGTTAAAAGCTTTTGATCATATGCAGTTACGTTTTAGATTTTTTATACACCTTTTTCAAAGGAGGTTGTCGTATAAATGGCGAATGTCAATTGAATGGCGATTCCACGACCGAAAGTAGCTATGGGATTTGCTAATTGAAGGGAAGTTAGGAATGATTTATACTGGAAAATAACTTCTGTGGTAAACATTTTGGCTCCATTTACTCTCCATTTCTATGCAAGGTGAATCCAGTAAGTGAAATTTTGATCATGCAATCTCCTTTTGACAATCGCCGTTCGAAATAGGTGTACTGTATGTGGAAAATGAAGCGACTTCGACATAGATTTGCAATCTGTTTATCCAAACTGTCGTTTCTAAAGTCAAATCTTAGAATTTCTCCATTCATAGAGCATGAAGAGATTATTTCTTTCTTCTTTTGAAACAATATTTTTAATTTCAAACACAGAAGGTCTATGATATGCGTGTTGGGATTGATCCTTAAAGTTATTAGATACAACTATAACATTAACATTGAAAACAATCCTTACATCTTGGTATCCTCCTCTCTGTGAACCGAAACCTCCGCGTCGTCCTCCCCTCTGCCCTCTATCACCTCCTCCGCCTCGACCTCGGTAGTTTCCTCGATATCCACCACCTCTTCCACCACCACCACGTCCTCTTTGTACRAAACCATTTGAAGGTGGCTGTGATGTTTCATTTCCTGTCAAAGTGAGATTAAAGATTTAGTTTTAGCGATTCTTTGTACTCTGTGCTTAGATTCATACTTAGTCTCCTCTCGCAGCCGTTATGCACCTATCAATGTTAAGGCCGGGCTAGGGGTGGGGACTAGACATTTTTTCATTTTTTTCTGTCAAATGCCTCACCCTCGGGCTGCTGAATGTGGTCAAATGCAGCTAAAAATCCCCACCCTGGGAACCAATTTATTGGTTAAATTCTATTTGAAAATCTGAGGTTTTCATTAATCAGTCTCTTTCTCGGAGCCTTTTTATTCAGTATTTGATCAATACAAATGTTATAATAAAACCCTTTTTTTGTTTTAGACAAAAGATAATCTTTGAAAAACAAAACTAATACGGTTACCTCCTTGACATCCGCCATCTTGTCATGTGCTATGAGATATCTGCGGGGGCTTTTATAGGGGCACTAGTCTTCAGTTCTCCTCAGCTCTCTATTACTCAGGTAACGCAACGATGGTTGGCAAATATCCCCACCCTGGGGCACTGAATTATTGGCAAATGCCCACCCTGGGGAAGTAATAGCTAGTCTTATCCCCACCCCTAGCCTGGCCTCCCCCCCTGGGGGCTTAACATTGATAGGTGCATTACGGCGGAGAGACCTGGGAGCGAACAAGGTACATGTGATCCCAGATACAGTACATGTCAATCAATACCTTCTGGTTCATTGCCATGGTGACCATTCTCAACCTGCTCCGACCAGTCTGAAGAACTTGGTGCTTCTACACTTTCACTGGGRGCAGTTCCCTTCTCAACCTCAGAGTCACCCAAAAAGTTAAGACCATGTTCRTTGGCAGTAAATGATGAAATGTCTTCTGGGATACTTGGTGGTGCTTGCTGTATGGGTTCTTGAATTGTTTCTGGTGAAGGTTCCTATGGAGCAAAACATTTTAGTATACATGTAAAAAAAATATGTAACCATGCATGTAGAGACGCATTCTTGAATAATCCAGTTTCGAAWTCTACAATGCTCTGTGTTAGCCTCATTTGTGAGCTCAAATATTACTAATTGTGAGAATAAAAGTGCGAGATTTCAAAATCAATTTTATTGTCTTTCTTCAAAAATTCCATGCATTTTCTCGAGCTATCAATAAAACAAAAGAATATGTTACTTGGTTTTGAGGCTAACACAGAGCAAACCAGAACTCGAAATTGGAGTATTGTGAGCSAAAGCACAACAGCATAATAAACTTCTTTCTAAAAATAACAAAAATTCAAAATGGACTCTGGGTCTTCTGGTCTTCTTCAGAGCGTTTGTTTTTCCTTAGTATCCTTCATTTCATTTTCTTGTTAAGAGAATCTATTCAACCAGYTCTGGGTGTGTACATGAACATGTATCACCGAATGTCCCTCCCAAAATAAGTTATAAATTATTAACCAACATACTTGAGGTACTTGTGCTTGTTCTGTTGAAATATCATCACCGCTTCCAGACAGTTCTCCATTTGGTGTGCTCAAACCACTGCTTCCCTCATCCTCTTCCTCTTCTTCAACCTCATTTCCAGCCCCAGGAGTTGATTTGTTTGGATTGAAGTAACCACATTGTTTGATACGCTCAACCACCTCAAAAAGTGCCTTATCTTTGATTATGATGTAAGAAAAAAACATTGTTTGTGGCAAAGCATGGAAGATTATAAAATAGTAATAATCACTTAGCCAAAGTGCCTTCTCTTTGCTAACAATATAAGAAAAAACACCTGCTTTAAGTGTTCTTGATACTTTTCTCATGGTATACTGTCCAAAACTGTGTCATGTGCCAAAGTAATCATTGTAGAGGTAAAAGTCAACGTTAGAATGAACAAACTAATGGAAAACTCATTCGTTACTTCCACACACCACAAAAAACAAAAAAACAAAAAACAAAAAAAACAAAAAAAAAACAACAACAACAAAAACATTGGCTTGCTAACCAACTTCAACAGCTTTACATCATCCTCATATGAAATAGGTCGAGTTCATTCATATTTTAAAGGGACACTGTCAATGGATGACATGCGCAGTAACAGTCTCACCTCTAAGACTAACGGACTTTGAAAGTATTACCTTCGAGGTAAATCATTTTGTGGTGATTTTGACACACTTTGGAATATTCTAAATCTGTTTACGTTTACGAGCTGATTTATGTCGTGCCAACTTGGAGTCATAAACTAGAAAACACTAGCCTAGTGTTTTCAAGTTTACTCGCGCATGCGTGACATTGACAGTGTCCCTTTAATTCGCGACAGAGTTTTCAAAATTAACAACACTGAAAATGGTTTTGAAAAAGATATACCATATTATTGTAAGGATACAAGTGGTGTCAGCTACTTCAGTGGGACTACTGTTAAGCAAGTTAATAATGTGTTCACTGGCATCTTTGATCTGTTTCTGCATGTTAATGTCAGACTCAGAGTCTGGTGTGATGAGCTTGTAGAAGTCGTCAATATGAGCGAACTCTTCTTCCTTCACTGTCTAAATGAACAAATAAAGGAAAATATAATATGTTAGTACCCACCAAATTATGAGGTATATAACATGTCCAGCATTTAGATTGGCTACTGAACTACAGGTATACATGATATTGTAAGATTTGTTCTTAAATCAGGGTTCGTTGTACATTTTCACTACAAAATTCCAGGATTTTTTGAGTACTTTTTAATCACAAAAATGTGATTTTTGTCAAGGACTTTTTTTGAAGTTATCTTTTAATGTTTGCAGTGGATATTTCAAATGATGATTTTTAAAAAAATTCAATTCAAAAGGTAACAAGCAGCAACGTCATTTTTTTCAGATTCAAGAAGTTTTCCATTTTTTCCCCTCATTTTCAAGGGCTTTTCAAGCACCCTTAAACACGAGTTTTCAATTCCAGGACTTTTCAAGGATTTCAAGGAGTAGCGCAAACCCTGTTAAATATATTTCAACTGTTACAAATATATTTCAACAAGAAATTACAAGAAATTATTTTTGTTGAAATATTTATTATCAGTTACAGCGAAATCTTGCCTCTTTGATATCATCATTGCCTTACAATGTACACGATGTTTTCTCAGCAACTATTGAACAATTGCTTGTCGTGTCAAGGAAGCTTCGTTTTTGGTGTTAAATTACATGTATTTAATGTACTAAGTGGATACTGATTTTAATACAACTGACCTATGTAAGTTAAATGTGTTGAATGTATCTGTGTACAGTGCCCTGTATGATATTACCTCGGAAAGTATAGCATACTTACCACAGCCCCATTTGTTCCATTCAGGAAGTCTGCCCTCACATCCTCAGATAGATTGTCCATCAACGACTGCAGCTCAAGAACTTGACACACCTTTGCTACATCTGCATTGTGTTGAGCTGCTTGCGAGGCAACCTGCTCACGCCTTGCTTGCTTTTTCAGTTGTTTTTGTGTCTGTAAAAAATATACAATTAATCAAAAATAGTGCAAATGAATCATTAAAATACATAACCTTGGAAAAAGAGCAGCCTTACTGATAACTAACACTTCGTTATGCCTTTGGTAAAATAAGGGCAGAAATAAGAAGAAGAACAA